CATGAATTAGTCAAGGAATTAGTCGCGTCAGCTGAAAACTTGATGGTCCTTGGTGAAAGTAATACCGTACTCGTTGCTTAATTAACGATTTTATTCATTCACCAGCGATGAAGTTCTACGCGTATACAACATGTACTCACCTGATTGGCTTTGTTAATCTGTTTCTTTAGTCCTGCGAACGCCATGGTGGATACTTTCTATTTCCTTGTCCTACGTAGAAGACAGCGAGTCTGCGAACAAAAGTTTGCGCTCGTGTGAAAACAACAAGAAAGGTTTCGAAGAGATTTTGAAAAACAAAAGGGAAGGATTCGAATTTATGACTGGCCGGTTGGCTCCTCGCCAGATCAGACCGTCCACGGACGGATGATTTTCAATGTTATCGATCGACCACGTTTTCCAGCATCACGACTTACTTCTGATGTAATAATCGCTGACACGCGTACAGGTAATCCTTTCCAATATTTCATACAAATACACACCCACGCGCGGACGACCACTCACGTAGGCGCGTGCACATTGTCGTTTAACTCTTGGAGGCACACGATTCGAAAGAAAAACGGAACTCGTCCGCAACAGTGTCAACGATTTACTGTATGCGTAACCTTGCTAACCAACTAATCCCGAACAGTTGAATCGTTTCCGTTCGCGGTGAACTCCGATTTCTCGAATAGAAATGACTGTAACCGATGACGCCGATACGACCAGTTCGTCATGCAAATTGCACGATACACCATGTCCCATTGGATTGTCTCTATCTAGCTATCCTTTCTATCAAGGCAACAACGTCTCTCATCACGGATTACCGAGCGGCGAACCCGAAAATAGAATGGCACGCTCATAAAGATGGAATTAACGAGCGCCCGTCCCTCTTAATAAGCCGCGCTTCTTAGAACAGAAGCAATGAGAATAAGTGGCTGGTACGAGTAAGGGCAAAGGTTGCACGTAAAAAAAGGTTCACCTTAAGCGCCTCCCGTTATAACGAACGGGCACGGATGGCCAGCACAGTTGTTTCGCAATCGTTCGACCGGTGCCAGCCGCGGTGGATCTAACACCATCTTTAACTTCGTTAGAACGTTGAAAGCAAACGAATCGGGCCGCACTGTCGCGGCGAAATCCGTGTAAACGATTTTTACATGATACGACGACGTCGAGGGAGCCTAAGAGAGGAGGTTCGAAACGCTGTCGAAACGGGGTGCAGGAATCTCGTTGGACGCCTCTCGTCGATTAAATAAGGAACTTTGTCAACGACAGAACGATTTCTCACCTCGCGCGTTCGATGACGAGATGCGTGACACCCTGGTAAACGTAAACCCCAGCACTGATGCTCGATGACGATGATGAAATACAGACGAGCACGGGCACGCAAGTAAAACTCTAGACCCGTCTAGAGATCCGCGTGGACCGCGAGCACCACGAGCACCACCGACTCGTACGTAGTCGGCTTTGCACACTGCGCCTCCTCCTCAAGGGGTAGTTTTCAAGCGGACGATCGATACACGGCTGTGACTCGGTTTTTCTCCCTCTCTCCACCATTCCTCCTCCTTCTCTTCCCTTATCAAAGCGTCCCTCTCGCACTCGCTCACCCCGTGCCCTTCCTTTCGCGTTCTCCACTCGGCGCCTTTCTTCCGTCGCCTCTCTTCTCTCTCTTTCTTCCTCTCCTAGCACTTCCTTCTGGCTCTCGATCCAACTTTTTTTTTTTGTGCCCCATCTCTCCTACCCGTTCTCCGCTCTTTATCACCCTTGCAAACTCGCTATTTTCCTTTTTTCTCTCAGTTTCCCTTGCGTGTAACTCCCTTTCCCTTAATTGTCTCTCGATTCTTACGACCACTCTCCACTTTCCCTTCTTCCCTTTTCATTTTTTTTCTTCTTCTTTTCCAGTTTGTATTCGCTTTTCCAACACCCCCGCCCCCCACCCACGCTATGACTGTCGCGCCCCGACCGACTGTTCTATCGGCATTTACTCCCTCTGTCCTTCACAGTTGCTCGCCTTTTTCTTCGTTACGAATCTTCTACGCCCACGCTTGCTCGCGCCTAATTCTGTACCTTTCTTCCTAACTAACGCAAACTTGTCGTACGCGTTTTTTGCAACCTGGAACATCCAGCAGCATCGACTGGCGATAAACTTGTCACAGAAATGGCGTCACCTTTAAAAATATCGATGATTCTTCTTTAAATCTAATACCAACGGATTCTCGACTTTACAACGATGAAAACGAATCCCAACAACCCCTCATTCCGACAATTTACTATTATTTCGTTACAGAGTTATCGAAATAATCGATCCGGAAAATACACGGAGGACCCGCCACCCCGACAAACTTTGTTAGCCCTGACTTCACGTTGCGTTTCCATGCAAAGTCCGTAAAGTTTCAGTCTAGTCGAACACGATGTAATTCGATAATAAGTTGCTTTTTAGAGTTGCAAAGCCAGAGAACGAGCCAACTATCATGGTATCGAACAAACGTGATCGATGAGAACCACGAATATACAAATGCGAAATCTAGCGAAAAAGTTACACACGTTGCGTGCGAACTGCGTTCAATAAAACGCAACCCGGCGAGTGTGCGTATCCGTTATTCTTTGGTAAAATTGACGCGAAAGCCCCAGGATTTCACGGAGCCCCTATTTGTCAAAGGTCACCGTGTTAAAGGGCTACGCGCTAAAGTGAATCGAGATGCAAGGGTAGCGTCTTCTGATGCATACGTAACTGGATCTCAGTTATCACTGCTTAAAGCTAAAATTAAGAAATACATCTGATATCACGATCTAGTTTCGGAATTATCGTGTATGTAATCCGACGACCCAAAAACCCTGTACATTGAGTTTCGTTTCGGAGATCTGAAAACTGTTTCGCAGCTTTTGGCCAGTTTTGGGGATTTTGCCCCAACGGGCGGCGCCAGGATAACTTGATTGTCCGCCAAGTAAAACGCAATCCCCAAATAACGGTCAGGGAAATAAAAGGGAGCCTTGGATTGTCTATAGATATTGCTCGAGTGAAAAAACGATTATCGGAAGCCGGATTTCACGGTCGCGTGTGCCGCAGAAAACCTTTAATGTTGAAAATCAGTGTTTGGGAATCTCTCGAATTTGCACGATATTACGATGAATAAATTTCGTAATTTCATTGAAATAAGTATATGTATGGGTTGGCGGTAGAATTATCGCAGTATCAGTTACTGTTTTTCTTTTAACACATTCATTGCTGCTGACGCGTACGTCGAGTTCAGGCAGTTGTTTCAATAATGCTGCTGACGCAATTGTTGCGTTTCGTTGAAAAAAAAGTTTTCAGAAAAGCAAACCAAACAACGACGTTAAAACAAGCATAATTGCTTGAAACAAATTTCTGATAAAAAAAAAAAAAACGGTAGGTCGATCTACGACTTTCATTGCTGCGAATATCTGTTGAAGCCTTTTTTGTTTTAGTTTTGATTCGATCAATTGGAAACGTTCTGATACACTCGACTCGGTTTTTAGTAGTTAGGTTCTAGTCATGCCGCTATTATCACTCGATATCATTCTGTCGCTTTGTACGCCCCCCATGCGTCTGAGTGTACATCCGTTGCAGAAACCACTCCCACGCTTCGAGAAAATATTTCTAAAAATATATGTCACTCCGGCAGGAAACAGCATTAATCTGCCCAAGTCACGACAGCCCTTGCTTTCAATTTACAATATTACATTTCAATTACAGACGTTACCGATAACAACCGTTCACTCTTCATCTCTTAAAACTGTTCGCAATAATTACGACGTTTACACGTATGCGTGGCAACAGGATACGCTAAAGCGGATACAGAGTACAAATAAAACGTAAAAAGTTAACGACCTTCTTTTCTTGCCAGATGAATATCCCGAAAGCGAGCAGAACGTTTTATCTACATTACGTGTACCAAATACTATCTGACGACGAAAAATAAATAATCTTATATAGATTATAATATTTTAGGAACATTAAAACAAAAAGAAAAACGTACAAGTTTCAACGAAAATTCAATTGAAATTCGCGCTTTGCGAGAGATCTACTAAATCGAAGACCGAGTTAAAGTTGTTATCGATTCGTAACAGAATCGATTTAAAAAATCGAAACTCGCCCCGAAAAGATCGATTCGTAATTGAGCGTTTACATTCACAATTATTGGCGACATATGAACGGTGCCTTAAATTTCCATTTGTTCGTTTTGGAAATCAGGCGTTAGAAAAATTATAATGAAAACGAACAACAATGAAACCACACAACCAATCACAAATGTGCTCTTTGAGACTACTAAAGAACATGGCGTCCTTCAGGTATTTGTTTCCACACCAAGTCCATTTAATATATTGTAAGTACGTAATATCGGAGTATATACATACGTTCATTACGTGCACGCGGCTGTGAAAGAAAAGGTTAATGAATATGCCAATGGGATGCACCGACTAATCAAACAGATTTACGCCAACCTATGTATAGACTTATTAAAACGTTTTCTTGTGTACGTCATTTAAGATAAAAATTCGAAATAAATAATAGATGCGATTTATAATAATACACTCACCGTGCTTCGATTTAGAGAGAACTGTGCACTGTTTGAAACGAGAATTTAGCTAACCCCCCGCTATGGTTTGACAAAGACGACAGCTGTTCAGAGTTTCCAGCAGTGACGCTAGATTGCTCTTCCAACAATGTGTATATATATATAGCACAAGCGCTGGAAAAAGCGGGAAAAATGATAAAATGGAGGCACATCTCTTACTACCATCGTTACTTGTATCTAGTGTATTTTATATAATAATCAAGTTATCGATCAACTTACTATTCCTAAATTATTAGTAGAATATCTTTGCATCAAAGTAATAACCAGTCCATATCGGTATTGATACACTGACGTTCCCCTAAGTTACAAGGTAACCTCATTTTACAGTAACAAACTTTTATCGCAATGTTATTAAGATAGAAATAGGGATACGAAACTTTACATACAACTACAATTTGGTTCTATTCGATGAACAAGGAGTAAATCTGAAATGACATAGTTTGTTTTTTATTAGCAACATTATTAGTACAGTGAAACAGCTAGTATTATACAATAAGATAGTGCCGTTTTACAATAGCGCGCCATAAAGCTTTTTTACACGTAATATAGCGTTTGACTGAATCATTTTTTTTCCTTAATTTGACTTGCTCCTTTTTCATAGAGATACATAACGCTTAAGTTGTTCGTCAATTTCGGGGTTAAGAGTTGACATCAATTGATTAAATTGGTTATCTCCAATGAATCTCCGTAACGTAAGTAACTGAAATGAGAAATGTACAAACAATTTTTTATACAGACATCAAAAAACATTCTACAGATGTTATTGTTAGGAATATTTTACCTGATTTTGTAATGTACTTTTTAAAGACGTACAGTTCTGAGGATCAATGAAGTAAAGTTTTCTGGTTCGCTGTTCGTGTGCATTTCCGTAATCATCATCCTCGTATTGCGATGGACTAGATTGTTCGCTAATCGATAAAGATCTGAAATGTCGCGAAATAATGGCTTTTATTGGTACAAAACTTCATGCACAAAAAAAAAAAATGAAAACGTGAACTCATACTTACTCAATGGCAAATCCTATACGGTCGCAGTCTGATTTATCGAAAGGAGTTATATCGTTAAGAACATGGACAATTTTAGATATTATTTGTGGGAAATGTTCAAGGACGCTAGGAGGACAATTAGCTCCGAGGAGTGAACAGAGCGCGAGAGCTAATAATTTACATCTGCCTCTGTCGGCCGAGAATACCCCTACCATAAGCCATACGCGTATTATTTGTTCAAATACAGCGTCTTCTTTTCCTTCGATTCCTCCCAGTTTTCTGGTTAATTCGCTTATTACCTACATCATAATTTATACATTTATAATAGTTATACTTCGGATTTAAATTAAATTTGTAATAACAATAACGTAAAAAAGTTTTAATACCTGTATAAAAATATCTTTATGAAGCCATAAAATTCTTGCCACGATACATAAACGCATAAACAATATCACTGATGGAGGGGAATCTGCCTTATACACGCTCACACTCCTGCCGATATTCAAATAAGTATTATTGTGTATAATATATTTAGCATGATTTACATATTCGTACTCACTCAAATATATTTACTAAAACGGGTTTAATCAGCTCTGCACCTTGCCGAGAAGAAGCGCAGATGCATGTTTCGAATATCGTCAAAGTTATTGTTAATTCATCTGATCTTAAGTCTGCCATGAGCGACCTAAGCGTCTCGATAATAACTGCTCCCCTTTGGCTGAGAAATTCTTGTGGGCTTAAAAGTATATATGCTTGAACTATGTACAAACACAATTTGAAATTTTCTGTGGATTTTTCTGAAAAATATTAAATTTATTTATTACTCTAAAAATTAATAAAACGCTTATTAAAAATTTGTAAATATATATATATATACATATCGACTAACCCAATAATGCAGGAATATTTTTAGCCAAATCCATTATAGCTGGTGTTGCAACACGTGCATTTTCCAACAAAGTTAACCATAACCGTAACCCATCGTCTAACAAATAAACATGACCATCTTGATTAACGTCACAACTGAATTGAACAACACCTACTACCAATGGTTCTAAGATAACACTTTCAGAACCTAAGGCCTATTTATAATCAAAATATTACACCAGTAGTTAGACATTACATACATTTTATAGTTTAATTAAACAACGTATATTATGTGCAAACCTGCTCTAAATGTATGAGGGTTGAAATTATAGCACATCTTAACATATTGTGTTCTTCAGATTGCTGCCAAAGTTCTGGTAAATATGAACTGAGAACCCCAACATGTGGGTTTATTTCGCTACCGACACGTTCGATCATAAACGATAACACATATAAAACATGCATCTAAAAACAATTGAAAAATGTGTTTCAAAAATAAAACATAATTTTAATAATCATGTAACTATGAATCTTACCTTGGTATCACATTCTTTCACTTCTTTTAATAGAGAAAACAATAAAGAAAATGCTGGTTCTAAATAAGGAGAGAATTCTTCTGGATTAAATTGAAAATCATCTATCGCGAGTTTCAATGCATCACTTGCCGCTAAACGAACACCCAAGTCCTCATCAGGGCTTAAAACTTCGACCATAAGTTCATACAATTCTGGTCTTAATTCCGCGCTTAATTTAACACCTGCAATTTTAATAAAGTGTTTAGAATTATAATTTTTAAGGGAAAAAAATTAATAGATTCTCTTACTTGTCCACCGTCCAATAAGCCAGCACACGCGTCTTCTAATAATTCTATAATTGTTACTCCGAATTTTCAATTCTTCTTTCAAAGTAGTTGAGAACCACTGATCAAAGTTTACCTAATACATATAATTATAATCACTAATTGCTTACGATAATTTGTAATTCATTCCACCTACCTCATCGTATAAGTCAAAAGCAGCCAAACCCACAGCGTTATACACCGCATCTTTTAATAGAATAGCGTGTAAATTATTAGGATCTACAGGTTGATGGTGTCTTTGCATCAACTCAACTAAAACCGATGCAAAAACATCTCTAAACTCATGGAAAATTGCTAAAAATACAGACTCTGTACAAGGCTGGAAATAAAATAATGGTTATTAAATAAATACGCATTGAACGTTATAATTACATAGTACCATCATTGTAATTATGTATTACCCTCAAACTGTATCTCCACGATTCACCACCATCATCAACAACTGAAATCAATTTTACGCGCAACATTATTAATAATTTAAAAAATGCTTATAAACATATAAATGAATACTTACAAAAGTTTTCCGGGTCTGTGTCCCATAACTCCAAATCAGAAGGAGTTAGAAGAAAATAATGCGTTACGAGTCTTGAACAGATTTCAGTTAAGATTTCGGGTGTACAAAATTTTTGCTTTAAATGGCGTGTTCTATCCATTACGTCTGGCAGCGAAAATACTGCATCTGTATTAATAATTTTACAGATTTAACTTAACGTAATTATTAACTTACATACTATGAATAAATAATCATTTATACCTTCTGCAGGTTTAAGCTTGCCAAATCTGTGAAAGTGAGGTAATGTAATCACGCTCTTTATTAAATTTAAACACTGAATAATAAATCTCTCGAAAGCTAAACTTTGACCAGCCTCCGTGAAACAGTAAAAAACACAAAATTCGAAGAACGTTGGTATTAGTTCAACATAGTAAAATGGACGTATTTCTAACACTCCTAGTAATACTTTGGTCAAGTGGATTATAAATTTGTCGCATACTTCCATCTGTATACCCCTTGAAATTAACGTTTTCCCTAAAATTATACACGTTATCAGAAAACGTAAATGTAAGTCATTTTACGATATATATCGTAAATTATAAATACTAACGGCATTCAAGACAAGCTTTTGCACGTTCAAAAACAATTTCTAAAAACACCATAGCATCCTGAGATTTCGAAGGTGTGTCGAATCCATGTACAATAAGCGTTCTAAGTATTCTCAATAAAAGTAATGCTTTTTCTAAAGCTTCCTGTATCTGATTCGTATCTGTTCCATTTGACGCCATTATAAGAAATGATTCGGTGAAAGTGTTCCATAAATTCAAAATAAAATTGAACACATTAATGGTTAATTCTTGGAACATTCGTTTGTCTGGGAGTAAGCATTTAGAAGCTAAAGACTTAACAACATGATGTAATGTTAATAGTGCTCTATGTTGGGCTAGAGGATTTTGTCCACTTATGACATCCAGTAATGTAGGAATTAATGTATCCCATTCTCTAGGACAATCATATCTGTACAACATTATTCCATCTGATTATTTTGGTAATTGAAAAAAATATAAGTCACTTTGTAAATATTTATACAATATTCGTTACCTTGCAATCTTAGCAATTAGAGCTGCCAATTGTACAGCTAACTGATTTACAGGTTCCTCAAAATTTGATATTAAACGTTGCCTAAGAAATGCCTTCTCATCCTCTGCAATTGCACTGAAATAATAATATGTTATTATTATATTAATAAATTGCTATTGTAATAAGAGATACTTACCCTGGTGCACTTTTTCTCCAATATCTATCAACACCATTTTTAAAACACAAAATGGCCATCCATCTAATATTGACACTCAAGGAATGATTGGAAAATACATTCTGAAACAATTATTACAAATTGTGTTGTTATATCTTCAGAAACAATTTTATGCCAATAAATAAATACATAAATATATTCCATGATACGTTCTTTGATAATAATACGATCATGGATTATACTACATATATATTATACTATATATATATATCTGTATAATCTATTTTTATTCATAATTGTATAAGAATTTTAACATGCATTTAAACAACTTACGAATAATGCAGTATAGAATCCTCTTTCAGTTTCCCACTGTTTCAACGTTTGCTCAGCAGGTTTCAAAATATTAGGATCTTGACTACCCGCTTGTTGAAGAATTTCTATCACTGAAGCATCCATATCTTTCTACTAAATGAATTCTTTGTTAGGATATACATAGATATTAATTACAAAATACCAATAAATTATGTTACGATATCGTCTTAAATTTAAACAAATCAACAGCTTTTACATTACTCCGAAAAATTGTAACCAAAGTTAACAATGAACATGTGTTATGGATATTTCCTTCCATCGATGTTTAACTGTATCGTAAAACTTGATAAAACCATACTCGTTGTTTACCAAGGCATTACGAGTATCGCACAAAATCAAGTACCTTGTCTATGGTTACATTATTTTCGGTAAACAAATTATTATGTTACTCGTTCCGGGTGAGAACAGTCCCTAACCTATAAGGGAAAATAAATCATACGCATTCAAATATTACCTATCTTACAGAAAGTTTGTAGAACTATTTTCGGTAAACTCCATTTATCACAAATATCTATGTATTAAATCGATACATAACGAAAATTATCGAGAAGACACACTATCAAAATGTCACACACGCCCGCAAGTCGGCATTTCAGAACGCTGCCCCCCTCCTGCTCTTCTCGTTTTCTATAAAATACGGTGGTGAGTTGTGCTATAGTGTAAACCATTTTATCACACATTTACGATGCGCAATTTCATAATTATCTTACAAATATACCTGTTACATTTAATTTATTATATTTATCGATGTTATGTATACTGTTTACTTAAAGGAACCTTATCATTTTACTTTCCTAATTACATTAAATACAAAAGAATGCATCAGTATTGCTATTGGTCATATGTATTTCTCGATACTTTAAAGTAACCCGAATTCAAAAACGCAAACAAAAATGATTACAAAATTCTGTATGTATTGATGTATATATTCCTGTATGTTGGCTTTGTTTCGTTTCTTTATGTTAGAAGCCATTTAACAGAAACCAGCATTCTTTTTTAAACTTTTAAACTATCATATTTTCTCATGTGAGTTTCTAGTATTTTCTCTCAAATCAATAGCCATCTAGCGGTGAAAAGGTGGAACTAAAATCCCGACCTCCGTACAGCGCAGCACCGGGAAAACGTCCAAGTTTGTCCTCGAATAGTTCTCACTGTCAACGCTAGATGGCGCCGTTTGTATGTTTTGAATAAAAAATAAAGAATTGAAAGGTTAAACAATGATTCTCATTCACATTTTTTTATCACGATGCTAATTCACTAATTTGTTTTTAAATATAGTAAAAATTATTTGTAAACATACAAATGGCTCCATCTAGCATTAAAAATCGGAACTATTCGAGGACAAACTTGGGCATTTTCCCGATAGAGGCGCTGATCAAACTTCGAAAATAGTTCCATTTCTGACTGCTAGATGGCGACATTAATTTCCCGCGGGAAATTTGAATGTTTTTTTTTTTTTTTTTATTTAATTAAATTAAAGTTTATTAGAAGCATTTGTAGATACTATTGAGTAGTTTAAGTTGTTTAAGTCTTATTTCGTATAAATTAATACATTAATCAATTTATTCTTCACTAGCGACTAAGTTCCGGCTTCGTCTGGGAGTAATTTTGAATTTTCTACCAAAAGTTTTTTTTAACCGAATTCTTACAAGATCTCTTTATGGACGTCATTACTCGTTTTTTCTCTTGAACAATTACTTATGTCTGAAAAACGGCAAGTTAGTTTAAAATCTTATTTCATTTGAAACGGATATCCGTTATGCGCACCCTAGCGGTTGTCTGAGTATTACACTTTCTTTCTGTTCATGGCTCGTGGCACTGTTTGATATTTGTCACGATGAAGGTATGAATCCAAAAATATTTCGTAAATCTCACCAGAATTGCGAACAATGAAAAGTTAAACTTATAAAAGAAACTGCTGTACATAGTTTTTCGCATACATAATTTATTAAATATTATTTTCACTTACAAAGTTTTAACGATAAACATTTGTTGTACGAGAGATTGATATCGAATATTAAATTGAAAAAATCGGTGTGATATACATCTGTGTTACCAAAAATTAAACAATTTTCTAATAAGTTTTATATAAAATGAAAATAATTAATTTTTGGAAAGTGTTAATATTTCAACTTTAGATTGTAACGCTTGTATTTTTTCTTTTCAGTTGAACGTATCCTATCCTGCTACAGGATGTCAGAAACTGTTCGAAATTGCAGATGAGCATAAGCTCAGGGTTTTTTTTGAGAAACGTATGGGTGCTGAAGTTGAGGCTGATGCTTTAGGTGACGAATGGAAAGGTTATGTTGTCCGTATCTCTGGTGGTAACGACAAGCAAGGGTTCCCCATGAAACAGGGTGTCTTGACCAATGGTACTAGGTTTTCCTTCAATGATAATATATTTCCCTTTATAATATTACAAGATAAATTTTAATACATTATATTTTTAAACAGATCGTGTACGTCTACTCCTTTCAAAAGGACATTCGTGCTATAGACCTAGAAGAGACGGTGAACGCAAACGTAAGTCTGTCCGAGGATGTATTGTTGACGCCAATTTATCCGTGCTTGCACTTCTTATTGTCAAAAAAGGAGAAAAGGTATAAATGTAACAATATTTCATTACATACTTAAACCTAACCCATGTTATTCAGGGTGTATCTAAGAACTCTGCTATTGTCTTACGATACTATCATGAACATGGGAGATTAAATATCATTTTTTGATTTGAGAAATAATAATCTGTAACTTTTATTTTTTCTCAGTGTACGAATGATACATTTATTAATCTTTTTAAATTTATAATTTGTTTAAAAATATATTCTGGTTATAGGAAATACCAGGTTTAACAGATACTAATGTACCGCGTCGTCTGGGACCTAAGAGAGCAAGTAAAATTCGTAAGCTCTTCAATCTGTCTAAGGATGACGACGTACGTCAATTTGTCGTCAAACGACCGATTCAAAAAGAAGGCAAAAAAGAACGCTTCAAGGCTCCTAAAATTCAACGTCTTATCACTCCACTTACCCTACAGGTATATATATTTTGCGTTTATTTATGATTAAAACTGTTAGAATGTTTAAAGTACAATGAAATAAACATATGTTTGTCTAATTTTTACAGCGAAAACGACATAGGTTGGCTTTGAAGAAAAGACGTTGCTTGGATCGTAAGCAACAAGCAGCCGACTACGCAAAACTACTAGCGCAAAGACAGAAGGAAGCAAAGAATAGACGTCAGGAAGAATTGAAACGAAGACGTAGTGCTTCCATTCGAGACTCAAAATCATCGAATCAGTCAGCACCCACCGCGCAAAAATAAAATGGCTGTAGCGATGTATTGACAATTTAATAAAAATACTTTCACACACTTCTGTTACCTTTCATTTTTTTTTACTCTACATCTCGTAATAGTATATAAAGAGCGTTATAACTCTAATCTGTATATCGAATCGGATGAAGTCTAGATCAGTCTAAATGACTATTAGTCCTTTGTTCGGCCTAATTTTTCTTTGTCTAGTTATTAAGAAAGATAGTAGATATTCTGTTCTTCAAGTAAGTTGTTAATCGATTAACACAATCCAGTCTGAAGAATTGACGATGTCGAATGTTTACTCATATATTATGTATTAATCGTAATAGTATTATATGGACGTATGGAAAATCGTTAGCCAAAATAATCAGCTCGCAATATTATCGCGCATGCGTTATCAGTCAGCTGTTTTGCAAGATAAATGGTTCTCAGTCATTCTCAGTGCGCAAGAGTGCAAGATGTATACTCCGAGGAGAATGTGGTTTCCTTATACGAAATTACGTTACTGGTTAAAAAGAATTGCATGTAGGGAAATCGTTTCCCTAGCATGGTAAACGGCCGTGTAATGATTTCGTTAATTAATTTAACTGTGTCAACAATAAAGACATTTAATTGCACCACGTAAGATTTTTAGTGCAGTAGTGACTGAGGTGGCGACGGTGATGATAGGAGAAGTGGTGATAATAGCGGTAGTGTTGGCGGCAACCACAATGATATAGTAGTAAAGTGATAATGATATTGTCGAACATTCATATGAATACTTAATTGCTGACAGCAAAATTTTTAATGTCATTAGTAATGAGAGTTTCGTAAAAGATGAGGATTTGTATAACTCGTGTATATTGGACATTACTTTTCATATCGATTGCTTCCAGGCAAGTATTTTGTTTTCTTTATATTTTACTAACAATTTACACACATGCAAATACTAGAGAAGTGCCATGTGCTTAATTTTAATATTGTTGGTAAACCGGCATGTTTTTCTTAAACATAATTAAATAAAATAAAAATACGAAGCCCATTTTACTGTTCTTTATACTTGATGTTTTAAATATTGAAGGCTTTAAAGTTTCATCGATTCTTGATATATTGTATTTGGCATAAAATTAATTGTAGATTATATTTCTCCAATTTATAGTTTAAAATAGACTTCGCAAAATTTACTCGATCATTTTAAAGTAACTGTAATACATTATTTCGATATAAATAATTTAAGGTTATAATAATTGTCATAGTATTAAATTCTTTGATAAATTAATGTCAGAGTAGGTGTTATTTCAAACGTAATTAATCGCATTCCTGCGATCAGATATAAATGACAAATATAATTTTAATGATTCTGTATATTATCAAAGTTTTGGTTGCATTTTGGGGTAAAAGAGCCAAACGTCAATACTAAAGATTATCGGATTATATTTATGCATAAAAATTTATCGAATAAAACGGAGCAACAGAATTTCATTTGCCACCTGTCCTAAAATTAACTTATAAAATATATCTACATTTCTGTAAATTGTATAATAATACATTTTTTCTAGGCAATCAAATTTGTCTTTTATACTTAGTTTTTTTTTTTAATCAAATAACAAAACTGTAATATAATAATTGTTACACAGAGAAAAAGTTGAACAATATAAATAGGATATAAAAAATATAAGTTATAACAAAGCTTTGTTTTATGAGTAAAGAGGATACAATAACATTTCCTAACCCAACTCTTTGATTGTCTCCTGTATAATTTAGCATTATCATTCTGTAAAGTTGTGCACTTTCTATTGATTAAACTGAGCCTCTTTTTGAGGATCTTGATTGCAATCTTTTTAAGTACTGATAGTAGACTGGAATGGTTATCATTTCATTAGGTTTTTGATAATTGAAAATGAATTACTTCACATTGAAATCCCACTTTTTTATTGTTAAACTGAGTACCTATGTTTTTCATTCTTTAATCAATAATCCTTTAAAAATGACATGATCTCTTTTTATCACAGTGCACTCTTATTCATAATCGTAGCCTCAGAAAATGCACAAAGTACTTACTATATGTCTTTGAAAAGAAATGAAACATCTGAGATCTATGATAATGACACATTGGACAACATGGGAAGTGATAGTTTAGAATCATCCAACATAGCTATCATCAAATTAAAAGAAACAATGAAATTGGAGAGAAATTACAAGGATCATTATTATCAAGTAAGAATCCATCATATAGGAATGGCTTATGTGAAATCTCGTTTATACTTATATGTAATTACATAATTTATTTGCTTGAAAATGTAGGAAAAATTTGCTAAAAAGCCTATCAACTCTGAAACACTTGTTCATGATGAAGCAAGGAAGAAAGATGATCTGTATAAAGATGTTCATTTTGTAGCTGAGAGTCTTCCTCAACAACCCAATTTATCTCAGGGGTAAGTTTTCATTTTGCATAAATACTACAGAGGAAAATCTCATTAATGAATCTTATTACAGTATTCCTTGTCAGGTTGTCACAAAGTTATCTCCACCACTTGTTGGAATTTCTCGCACCGACGTCGGTGATACTCGCTGTTATCGATTCTCACTCCGTCTATGCAGAGTTGACAAGCTGAACAGATAGCAGTGGTCAGGTTTCTTCTATCTTCCGTGTACGTTGTCTCGGCTTAGTCCCGAGATTATTATGACCTGAAAAGGAATACTGTACTTTGGATTATGCAATGTCCATAATATACAGTTTTAAAATGTTCAATATATATTGCCTTTGTATTCATATTATTGTTTTGTTTGTAGAATTTCTGAAACTGAACAAGCAACAGTTTTGACTCTGGTAAATACGGCTGCAGCAGAATTACAAAGTTTAGTAGAACCAAAGTTCAGTTCGGAATTTTCGAACGCGAGACTATTTGCAAAGAATTCATCGTCGTTAATAAAGCCTACGAGTATCGGACAAGAAACAGAAAAGGAACAGCAAGAAATTTCATCCAGCACGCAAACACCGTCGTCGTCGATTATCGATGAAATTTCGAAAATGTCCAACAAATCGAGCGTTTCCGAGGAAGATCTATTATTATTATCGGATGCAGTTAACGAAGGAAAATCTGAAGGAGTAGTAGTAGTAAGGGCTGAAAAAGGCCCTATCATTAACGATGAATTGTTCAATCTTGAACATAAAGTTGTTAAAGTATTGCCCGACGAGATAACAAATGTCGATGAATTGGTAACAACAGCTCCGTTACTGAGCGACACGGAAGCCAATGCTCGATTAATGGGACATACCAGAGACGAAGCCGCTACAGTTGTTCTCGGTGAAGACGTCGTGTCGGTGATACCTCAGGATCCACACGAAGATATTCCATCATTCAGTGAGTGGACTCAAAAAAGACTAGAAGAGGCTGAAAAGAAAAAAAGTGAGTATCCGAATGAGTAAAATAGAAAAAAAACATGATACGTTTTCAAATGCGAAGTAGCTTGTTGATGTGCCACTATGTTTACAGCGCATCCAAACGCATCTGTTCAAAATTCCGGAGTTCCTACGCGAGGAGTTGGTGGATTGAAGATTCGTTCAAAGAATTACGCTTCTCCAGATTGCGGAGCCAAAATCGTAGCAGCGAATCCAGAAGCTCAAAGTGCCAGAAGTGTTCTAGCATATACTAGAGATGAATACATGCTAAACACTTGCACGTCGCGCATATGGTTCGTGGTAGAACTCTGCGAGGCTATACAAGCCAAAAAAATCGAATTGGCAAATTTTGAACTGTTTAGTTCATCGCCGAAGGATTTTTCAGTGTACATTAGCGATCGTTTTCCTACAAGAGACTGGAGCTTAGTTGGTCAGTTCACCGCAAAAGATGTAAAAGATATTCAAAGTTTTGTTTTACAACCTCATCTTTTCGGAAAATTCATAAAAGTCGAATTGCACACCTATTACGGGTCTGAACATTTTTGTCCCGTATCCTTATTTCGTGCTTACGGTACCAGTGAATTCGAGGTTCTAGAAACAGAGACGGAGAATCAAATCTCAAGGGATACCGATACGAGTGCGCACGATGAAGAAGATAGCGACGAAGAAGAAGGTTTAGATATTGAAATTGGTGAACCACCGAGAAATTTATTCGGTAGTGCTAGAGATGCTGTATTGAGTATTGTAAAAAAAGCAGCTCAGGTGTTAGGAAAATCCAATGAATTAAGTGGTGACAACATTACGAGAATCGAGCAAAGTATAGATAGCGGTAATTTCTTCGATAGTTCCTTTCATGATTGCACTACGCCAAGGTATAAAATTCTTTGCGATGGTTGTTCTGAAGAGAAAATCGCGAAGATCTTCCATTTAATTAGTTGTAGAGAACGACAACTGGTTCAGTTATTAAAAATTGATCTTCTAGACAAAACTTTACAACAAAGTGGATTCTGTAAAAGTTACGGCGTGGAAATTGACAATTTTTCTAAAAGAAATCTAGAGGAAGAAGATACAATAGAGAAATATAATCAAACCGAAGAAAGGTTTAATTCGACAAAGATTTTCCAATTAAAATTCTTAACGACTGTATTTAAGTTTGAGTATATTGCAGCACTGTGCAATATATTAGCGATAGAAAAAGGTAAAGTGCTACTAAATGGAAGCTATGAAACACCGCTTAATTACTTCAAAGATAGTAGTAAGGAGGACGTATCCCGTAAAGATAAAGAAGTCTACAATAGCGAGACAATTAAATCATTCGAACATACTCCATCTCTACATACTACGAGTTCAAGTACTGATAGTTATAAATCAGTGTCCTTTCAGGAGTTTCAAAAAAGTAATCAAGAACTACACAGTCAAGAAACTGATAAATCTATGGGTACGACTATCGAAACGTCGTTCAGTCCTGAAAATATAGTTTTACAAAGTAAACCTACCAAATCTCTTAGTAAAGAAGAAATAAGAAATATTTCCTCGGTTCCTATTTTGGAATCTAGCAAGGATAGTATCGAGGAAACAATTCAAGCTGAAATACTAACAACTACTCCCGCGTCTTTAAATACCGGACAACATACAATTCTAAAAGCCTCCGAAGAGCCAGTGATTACTCCTGGTA